GAGAGAGAGAGAGAGAGAGAGAGAGAGAGAGAGAGAGAGAGAGAGAGAGAGAGAGAGAGAGAGAGAGGTGGAAGTGAGTTTATTTCATGCTTTAGTGTCGCGGCAATGGCCTGCTCACTCACTGCATACATGTGTATCAAGAATTAACTATGGTGTGTGTATCTGTTGGGAGGAAGGGAAGGTGCATGGGTGAGAGGGAAGGGAGGTGCAGGTCTGTGTACTGGGTAAGAGTGAAAGGAATGGAACTGGGATATATGTTTGTAGTAGGAGGGGAGAGAAAGAACATGGGATGTGCGAACAAGCTGGAATGTGAGAGCTCCCAGTAGAAGTGGAAGGAGGAGGGGATAGGCTGTGTGGAAAACATGGGACAGAAGAGATATGGGGTGAAATAATACTCAAAAACAGCAATACTCGGTACAGATATATATTAAAAATTAATTAAACTTTTCATTGGGACTCAGTCATCCTCATAACATGTTTCGAGTTCTACACTGTCACTTTATAAATGAATCGGATTTCGGCGAATACAATACAACAGACATTCACACTAACTCACACCAATAATGCAAAGGACTTCGTGAAGTGTCGAGACTTCGTGATAGAGAATAACGACAGAATTTGCAGTTCTGTGCCAAAGCTCGCACCTGGGTTGACGGACTCACCTTTCACGATGGGGGGCGACAGCAGTGTGTCGTTGACTGCCAGCAGGAACTGCAGCAGCATGCTCCAGGTGTCGGGTGCCATGAGGGGAGAGTCGCGAGCGAGGTTCTCCAGCGTCCTCAACACACGATGACACAGCATCGCCTGCCTGTCCACCCCTACACGGTGCAACAACAATACTGTGTAAGAAACCATTGCCAGTGTAATACGGCGTTATATCATCATAGGTATAGAGACATAGGGAATTGGACTACATTAATAGACAATAGAAATGTGGGTTCGATAGAGTAGAGCAAGTAATCGCGCAGGCGTATTCCTATTGTTTCCAGTATGACAGCAAACGTCGGTGCAACAGCAAAACTGTGTAAGAAACCGTTGCCAATATGACAGCAAACGTCAGTAAAACTGTGTAAGAAACCGTTGCCACTATGACAGCAAACGTCAGTAAAACTGTGTAAGAAACCGTTGCCAGTATGACAGCAAACGTCGGTGCAATAGCAAAACTGTGTGAGCCACAGTTCCTAAACAGTATGACAGCAAACATCAGTAAACTGTAAGAAACCGTTGCCACTATGACAGCAAACGTCAGTGCAATAGCAAAACTGTGTAAGCCACAGTTGCTAAACAGTATGACAGCAAACATCGGTGCAATAGCAAAACTGTGTAAGCCACAGTTGCTATTCAGACGTTTTCGATGGGACCAAATTGGCTCGTGCTAACTCGGCACGGCCCCGAAAAACCTGTCTGTTATTACTTGTCTTAACAAAGTTGAAGCGATAGTAGAAAATGCTGAAAAATTGCTCTAAAAAGTTGCTCTAAAAAGCTGCTTGTCCAGCGGACAAGCTGCTGGACAGGTCTACTTATCCTCCGTGGAAATGGACACGTGAGGACAAACGGATAGCCCTTATTTCGAACACTACCTTTGGCTTCGGTGGAGATGGGACATCCGACGAGCGCAGCTTCAAACAGCCAGGCGCCGAGTAGGTGCAGGATGCTGTTGCACTTCGGCCGGTCGGCGGCGAGCGACTTCTGATTGTCCAGCGACAGCGATATCTGACCGACGGTCGGCGTCACGGGCGTGCTCTGCTGCTTGGCGATGTTTGACGACGACTTTTTCGACTCTGAAAATTTACCGGCAACGTGGAGACGGTTTCGCGATCTCGTCTGAAGACGGTGTTTGATTTCAATGTAAAAATATCGCTACTTAATTATAGTAATTGCAAGTATAGTGGGGCAGATATGTGAAAGAATAATTGTGGGTTTTGTGGTAAAAGCACCAAAATTGGCATAAATGATGTTAAGGGTATACTAAATGACATCAGCATGGTATCAAACCACCATTCATAGTATAAAATTGGCATCATTATACGAAAACATCAGCTCCTACGAGATAGCCAATGTACATATTACAAAATATTGCAATATACAAGATCCTATAGTATATTGTAATTAAGCATTAATTCTTGCCAAACGTGGCTATACCTACGAATATTTCTCTCGAGAGACATTCCGACTTAAATGAAGTGGTACCATTCAAGGAAATCAACCACTGCAACAGCTGAAGCACACTCACCCTTCAAACTCAAGCCAACTTTCTTCTTCTGCATAGGAGGCGTGCCAGTAGCGGGGGTTAGCGTCTGCTTGGGGTAGGCGACAGGTACGGCAGTAACATCCTTCAGCTCTGGCTGCGGAATACCTAATATCATGACAAACCAAGAAACCAGTTCGTCAACATAGGATGCGTTGAAGCGTCAGCATCAACCGTAATTACCACAACCAGCGTAATTAGGAAGGAGTTAACAAACAAGCGATCTCAAAGAGAATAACGATAATGAGGAGAAGATACTTACATTCAGCTGAATAGCTTTTACTTTTGCTTTACTGCCTGAACTTCCTCGTAGAAGAAGAAGATGAAGAAGATGGTAATGATGGTAATGATGATGATGATGATGATGATGATGATGATGATGATGATGATGATGATGAGGATGAAGAGGAGGAGGAGGAGGAGGAGGGGAAGCAGGAGAGAGAGTGGGAGGAAGAGAAGAGTAATTTCAACTTACCAAGAAATGAATCCACAATGGCCGCAATGCCTTTCATGGCCTTCAGAAAGATCTCTGGCAGCATGTGCAAGCAGGGGTGATGTGCTGGATCTATGACAGCCTAAATGAACAGCAGATGACACGTTGAGACAGACCTACGGCTTTCCCAACGAGCAATATTTTAACTTTTACACCAACTTGCACATACGAAAGGATCCTCGTGTTACTGCTTCCATTGTTTACGCCGTAATTTTCTTAATAGCAACGCGGTACGACAAGGGGCAGCCGCCACCGCTCGTGTACGTGAAAAAAAAACTCAAAAATACAAGAAATACAAAAAAGTACTCGTGTGCATACGCACTCTTACCGCGCGCCAGGGGGGATGGGGCGGTTGCCGCGACGCTGGGGGGAGGGGACGGTCGCCGCGACGTGGTTGGAGGGGACAATCGCGTGATGCGGTGGGGGGGGATGCTGTCAACACGACACTGGGGGGCGGTCGCCGCGGTGGGCACTCGCCTCGCTCGTGAGCGCCATGTGCAGGAAGCGCGGCGTGTTGCTGACGATCGCCGGGCTGCTCAGGTGCACGGGGTTGGTGAGCACGTGCAGGAAGCGGAACCACGTCTGCGCGACGCGGTCGTCGTCGACGTCGGCCACCATCGACGCCGCGCTCTCCTCCTTCAGCTCCTCTGTCAAGGTCAACAGGCAGGTCAAGGTCAACGGGTGAGTTAAGGTCAATGGGCGAGTCAAGGTCAATAATGGGCAATGTCAATAGGCAAAGTCAAGCAAAAGTCAGGCAATATCAATGTCAACTGGCACGTCAAGGTCAATGGGCAAGTCAGGATCAATAATGGGCAGGTCAAGGTCAATGGGCAGGTCGGGTTCACTGGGTGGGACGAGGTCAAGGGTGCTGGTATGGCCATGCAACTGTGACTTGTCGCCTGTTACAGCAGGGGTAGCATTAGACTTAACCTCTGGTAACTGGTAGCATAGACAATCCCTTTTATCGACACTGCACCCACAAACCCCGAAATAAGGTCTAGACTGCAGCTTTTTAATACCGTAAAAATTTGGCTTTTTTGGCTTTTAATAACATGAAATTTCTGCTTTTCTTGTCCTTAAATGATTTCCAGTGGTTGTTTCACAATCGTTTTTGGTAGTATATAACGTTTTCCTCATCACATTTATAAATATTTTACTTAAATTTTTGTGCCTCATTTAATTTAACATCCTGGGTGACTAGCCTGCTTATAATAATACCGATTGCTGTAGTACACAACAATGCTATGAATAACTTCTTGTTTGCAGTAACCAGGCACGGCAGTGTGAGTGATGTGTGGGTAGGTTAAGCAATACAAACATTTACTAACTACAAAGCATAATTGCAATAATAATATGCATGCATGTTCTACGGTGAAATAACATACCGCTGCCCTTTTCTCCATTATATGATATTATCAATTTAAATAATATATTAGAGATGATAATAAAATTCGGAATATTAATTAAACACAGTGAATAATATCATTTATAGCTTAAATATTTGCTCACGCACACATGTCGCACACACGCGCTCACGCACACACGTCGCACACACGTGCTCACGCACACATGTCGCACACACGCGCTCACGCACACACGTCGCATACACGCGCTCACGCACACACATCACACACATCCCACACACGCGCTCAGCACACATGCGCTCACGCACACACGTTGCACACACGCGATCACGCACACACGCGCTCAAGCACACACGCGCTCACGCACACACGTCGCGCACACGCGCTCACGCACACACGATAAAAAAAATCGTGAGCCCCTTAGGTCTTTGCCCCCCCCCCAATCCAAAACTGCTTCCGGCGCGCCTGTCCTATCATTCAATGTTCTGGTTACGACGATCACCCAGACATACGCACGAGATCGTAACACAAACTTACAACGATCAAACAACGAGCCGCCACCACTCATTGGAATTGAATTTTGGGGACGCACTGCACTCACCAAACTCCCTGTTACAGGAGGACGAGGAGCGGGAAGACCTGTCGGAGTCCAGCGACCAGCTGCTACCCTGGCGCGGTGACGTTCCCTCTGTACGACAAACCAACAACGCTGCTACGTGCAGGCAAACGACGACGCGTACCCTACAACTCTCTAATGGTTATCTAGTCTAACTGAGAGGCGTCTGTGGAGAAGGATCTTAATTGTGACTGAGAAGGCTGGTATCTAAGTTATAACTGATATACTGACGTACGGAGAAGAATTTCTGCAACTCTCACAACCAAACAAACTTCAAATTAGTAAAGAAAAAAAAACGTTAAGCATAAGTAAGCATTTAATTTCACAGCAAGATCCCGTGTTTGGTCAAATAGTAAGCAAACATAGTCATTCATAGTCAGATAATTCACAGTTAATCTCATTGTAGGCAAAATCCCAGTTACTCCCATGGTAAATTGTGGTTAATCATGTACATTAAGCAAATATATTGTTAATCTCACGATGGCCAAATATGTGGTTAACAATCCAAAGTTAAGCGAATATGCAGTTAATCCCCTAATGATCGAACATCCGCTGTTAATCTAGTAGGTGAGTGTGTGTACGTGCGGGGAGGGTACGCATAGGCAGAATTCGCACTCACCGTCCGGTCCGAGAAGGTTGTTCGACGACTCGTTTCCCCCGATCATTTCTTCCTGGGCAGTGACCTGGTCAACCTCCTCGCAGAGCGCAGAGTCCTGCACGCACGTCAGCAGCCCACCTGCGCAGACGACCACGAAACCAGGTCACGAGCCTCGATCACTTACGCCACAGTCACATAAGCCCTACATAAGCCACCGACTTCACGACGCGAGTTGTGTGCAGCGATAATTGAAACGTTTGTCTACAGCTGGTACTGTGCAGGCACAATTAATAGGCTCCACACAGAACTGGGCTTATATATAGCTAATTATACAGCTTATATAGTTAGTTCTGGCCCTAACTAGTTATATGATACGGCACCATGCACTACAACGCCTGTAAGTATAATAGGATAGTTCGTTACCAGAACCAGCTGTTCAATACGGCGCCCTATAATTACTTACTAAGTGGGATTGCTCCTAGCCATACCGAGCTATGAAATGGGTTGTTACGATACACGGCTGAAAATGAATTACGTACCGAGTAGCATCTGAGTGTTTAGAGAATCCGTCTCCACCTGAAGTCCGCTGACGAGTAAGTTGACAAGTCGTGACTTGATGTAGAGGAATGTCACATGCTGCGGCTGTGAGCTGCTGCCTCTTACGATCTCTGCATTAAATTGACTTAGTTACGAATTTTTTATGGTGTATATTGGTAAAAAATTTGTTTCCATTTTTTTACATTAAAACTAAGTACTAACGGGACTAAATGTATTGTCAAATTCTTACCTGATAAGATTGTTTCTCAACTAGTTAAAAATCCAAAAAACCTGGACGATTTGATATGATCCTGACATTAATTGCTTGCTATGGGCTATGTATGAGTCACGAGTGTATGTTTACATCGAACAATATAGTAAAATAAGAAGTATAATGTAGCAATTTAACCATAAAAAGTTAACAGAATAACTTACAATTTGTGAAAAAGTGGAAATATTTTTTTTACTTTTAATATTTACGGTGACATAATCACTTTAAAGTATGGAAACCACTGATGTCAGCTATACAGGCATTTACGTAAAACTGTTGCCAACACAAATAATTCACAGATATCATTCAATGTTTGATTTACCATTTCATTATAATGATGACATGAATGTGTCATCATAAAATTAATTATCTTTTTCCCAAAAACGGATAGATTATTAGTAATAAGTATAGTTAGAAAAGCAGTTAATATTAGAAAATGTTAACTTAAAACATAGTGACATGCTGTATTAATCTGAGTATACAAACTAATAACAATCCTACACACTAACACCATCCCATTATCAATAAATGGTGATAATACAAATTAATCAGAGTGCAAGACACTTACAAACTGAATCTAACATAACCAAGTAGCAAATATGATTGTGCAACTTACACAGAACGCTTTTACAAAACACCAGGGAGCCGTTGTCAGCAAAATTGTAAGGTTACAGAAGGTTAAGAGTTAACTTTGTTTCTGACAACGACCCCCAGCTCTACCTTTGAATGAGTAATTTTTTTACCTTTAATCGGGAGGTTCCGAAAGTGAAGAGGTAAAGCAATCATTGACAGCAACAGGTGAATAGAAGCCCTTCTCAGTTCAACTAGTGGTATGCTAGGATGTAGCCTGTCACAGCGAGGAATAACACATACCAATATATGAATATAATGAACACCTGTATAGTATACATTAGTACAAGCGAGAACGCGGCTATAAATACATAAAGCCCTCACAAGGAATTGTGGGGAGTTCAATACAATTATTCTACAAGAATTATTTCAGTTCTCACTATCCTTAAAAGTAAACTACCTAAAACGTGGCTAAATGCATCCTGTCCACTCAAGGAGATGTGGGGGCATTAATACAATTATCCAAGAGAATTATTTCAGTTCTCACTATCCTTAGAAGTACACTAACTGAAACGTTGGTATAAATACATCATACTTCAATACAATTATTCTACGAGAACTATTTCAGTTCTCACTGAGCTCACAACTGAACTAACTAACACACTTCACAATACACTCAATAGCACATATGCCCCAAGCAGCGCGGTTGCACCTACTTGAATCGTGGCTCCTTCTCCGGCAGGACGATCTCCAGCGCGGCGACAAAGTCCGGCAGCAGCACCATGATGCCCTCTAGGTCAGTGCGCAGCAGGTTGGAGGAGTTGAACAAGAGGCTGCTCAGTACCGGCCCACTCAGTTGCTGGAAACATCATCGATGACGATTGTCACACTCGCTTAGTTACGCAACAGTTAGGATTGTCACACTCGCATAGTTACACACAGTTACGAATGTCACACTCGCATAGTTACACACAGTTATGAATGTCACACTCGCGTAGTTACAGTTACGAATGTCACACTCGCATAGTTACACACAGTTACGAATGTCACACTCGTGTAGTGACATGCAGTCACGATTGTTACACTCGCATAGTTACGCAGTTACGATTGTCACACTCGCATAGCTACACACAGTTACGAATGTCACACTCGCATGGTTACACACAGTTAAGAATGTCACACTCGCGTAGTTACACACAGTTATGAATGTCACACTCGCATGGTTACACACAGTTAAGAATGTCACACTCGCATGGTTACACACAGTTAAGAATGTCACACTCGCGTAGTTACACACAGTTATGAATGTCACACTCGCGTAGTTACACACAGTTAAGAATGTCACACTCACATAGTTACACAGTTACGTTATGTACTGTACTGCGCTGTACCATAGTTAGAGGGAGTCTCCCGCTACTAACTATAGCTGTACTCAAAGAGAGGAATTTCTCTCCCCCACCACCTTAGCAGAGACCCTGCGCCGTACAAAATGAAAGTGCCAATGACACTATAGCTCACCTTGGGTGTGATAGAAGAGGGAAATGATATGTAAAATTTGGCAAGTGTTTCATTTATGATGGACCGAAATGGGATCAAATGTCCTTATAACCTGTTTTATACTAATTGGGGCTAGCCTTACACATTCACATAACAAAATCAAATGAATCTAGATGGCCATTTTCATTTTTCCCAAAAAGTGGGCATGGCTCGAAAGTAGGTCGACTGGCATGCTCCAAAATAGGACGTTCAAATCTATCCCATAGGAGTAACAACTGTATGCAATTTGAAACATGTGGGTCAAACGGTTCTTGAGTTATTGTTGACCGTAGGCAGACACTGAAATGCATAGTGAAATTGCCAAAATCTACCCAATTTGCATAATTTTTTAAATATATCAAAACCCATATGATATGTTTTGGGGCCAGTCCTTATTCATCCCCATACCAAAAATGAGCAAAAGCCGTTGAACCTGAACTGACTTATGGCCATTTCCATATTTGCCAAAAAGTGGGCATGGCTCGAAAGTAGGTCGACTGGCGTGCTCCAAAATAGAACGTTCAAATCTCTTCCATAGGAGTAACAACTGTATGCAATTTGAAACATGTGGGTCAAACGGTTCTCAAGTTATCGTTGACCGTAGCCAAATGTTGACGGACGGACGGACGGACGGATGTACGACGGACGACGCCCCATGGCAATAGCTCATCTTGAAGATGTCAAGGTGAGCTAAAAACAGCGACGGATCGCACGCACCTCGTTGATGGACAGCGCCTGCCGAACCACGATGTAGAAGCGAGCGTAGTAGACGGCCAGCATCCCCTCGCCGGTCTTGTGCGAGCAGAACACCCGGCAGAGGGCGCCGACGGCCTCCGCGCGGCCCGCCTCGTAGCTGAGCTCGAGCTCGAGCGCGTCGCTGCCCGTGAGCGCCGGCGCCGCGCCGGGACCTGCACCCGTCGTCGTGCGGCTGATGAACGAGCCGGAGCGGCGGCCGTCCGCGGAGTCTGCGAGCAACGGGGAGGAGAGAGATGCTGTGAGCGACGTGCTGAGGGGGAAGGTATGGGTCATGGTAAGGGTAAGGCTTATGGTGTAGGCATAGGTAGGTGTGAAGTGAAGGTAAAGGTAAGGGTAAGGGTAGGGTTAAGGATAAGCGCACGGGAGGAGAGATGATCCTGTGAGTGACGATACTAGAAGTGAAAAGGCA